CTGAATGCTGATGTGTGACAGCTGCAGTGTGAGAGCGCATGGCATGAGCCTGAGACACAGCCACCACAAACACTCTCATATATAGAAGTACAATGGCTGTAACTGGAGCAATAAAGTTTAAAACAAGGTCAACAACTTCTGCAATGTAGCTGACAACTACTATACATTCTCCATAGCAGGAATTTTGTATGCCTGGTTGAATCAAGGCATCTTTAAAAACAACACTACTGTAGAAAACTGAACAAAGGCAACACAAAAAAACACAGAATTTGGATTTTGTCACAGTGATTCTGGTGGTATAATGCAGTGGGTGAATAATAGCCACATATCGGTCAGCTGATATAAGCACCATGTTTCCTACTGAAGTACTGAAAACAATGTAGACCACATAATAGTAGAGAGAACACATAAGGTCCCCAAGAAACCAACATTGTGTTTGTTGGTATATTTCTCCTGGCAGCAACACGAAGCCCACAAGAAAGTCTGAGACAGCTAGAGAGAGCAGGAGGATGTTAGTGGGTGTGTGGAGTTGCCTGGAAGGAGACAGAAAAGCATTGTTAACACAGTAAAGCATCACAACAAGCCTTAATCAGTAATGCTGGTTGGCAACTGTTAAAAGATGGATGGTTAAAACAGCTTTAACATTACATTTCAAATACACAAAGGAACATTGTTCATAAGAAACGCTTGAATTTTCCAAAATGAGAAGTTGATCTCTGCCTGAAGTGGGAGACTGAGATGATGACGAGCAGGTTGAGAACAACAGTGAGGACAGACATGGACGACAGCACAATGTTCAGAAGCACAACTTCAAACCGGTGAGGTGTCGACTTCCTGCAGGAGGAGTTGAGGAGTTCAGGAAAACAGAGCTCTGCTCCGTCCTGGATCTCCATCATCTGACCAGAACTCTGTGTCGTACAACTGATTTATCTCTTTCTACCATCACTCCCCTCCTCTCTTTCAGTCTCTGAAGGACACTGTTGTCCTTCCTCCTTCGCTCTCATGTGACCAGATGTTCAATTGTGAAAAGTGATTAAGTGTCAACGTCTGCGGCCAAAAATTTAAGCCGCCATGTAGCAAAGCATCAAAAACTGCTACTTTCGAAATGTCCAACTTTACAGCAGAAATAATACGTTCATAGCCTGGTACAAGAAAAAGTTTTGAACTCTATTGCTAATTTCCCCATTCGTGACGACTATCAGACACTCCGATGAAGAGAGGAGTAAAGCTGTCGACTGATTACCACCTGGTGGTGGTTGGATCCGATGGTGGGGAAGCTGCTGGGTGGACCTCTTAAACCCAAACGTGTGGTGAGGCTGAGCTGGGAACATGTGGTGGAGGCCCCTATCCATGAGGTTTTCAACTCCCACCTCGAGACAAGTTTCTCCTGCATCCTGGAGGAGGTTGGAGACATGGAGTCGGAGTGGGCCATGTTCAAAGCCTCCATTGCAGAAGCAGCCATTAGGAGCTGTGTCCAAAAGGTCACTGGTGCGTGTTGCGGTGGCAACCCAAAAACCTGCTGGTGGACACTAGCAATGAAGGAAGCTGTCGGCTGAAGAAGGAGACTTTTTCGGGCTGGGTTAGGGTTAACCGTTTTATGCCTCGCTTTTCAACACAAACCATTCGATGTCTTAGTAAGGGGAGGCAGGGCTTAGCCCAGGTTGTGTGGAGTTGGGGGGAAGAACTGCTGACCCAGACTGAGGACACTGATGAAAAGAGCACTTCAAGGAACTCCTGAACACAGTAAACACATCCCCTGCTGAGGGGGCAGAGCCTGGAGACTTGGGGGGACTCTTCGTCCATATCCGTGGTCGAGTCCACCGAGGTAGTTAAGAAGCTCCTCGGTGGCAAAGGCACCAGGTGTGGACAAGATTCGCCCGGAGATTTCAAAATCTCTTGATATCTGTTGGTAAATTTTCTCGGAAGAGGTGGTTTTAGTGAAGTTTTTTCCAACTCTGAGGCCATGAGCTCTGGGTAGTGACTAAGAGAACGAGACCGCGGGTACAAGCAGCCGAAATGAGCTTCACCCGCAGGGTGGCTGGACTCATCCTTGGAGATAGGATGAGAAGCCCTAACATCCGGAGGTAGCTTGGAGTAGAGCTGCTGTTCCTCTGCGTCCAAAGGAGTCAATCGAGATGGTTTGGACATCTGATTTGGATGCCCCCAGGGAGGTTTTCCAAGCACATCCGCCTGGGAGGAGCCCCCAGGTCAGACCCAGGGCCCGCTGGAGGGATTATATTTCTTGGCTGGCCTGGGAACGCCTCGGGATCCCCCAGGAAGAATAAGAATGTGTTGTCGGGGGGAGGCCCAGATGGAATGACCTGCTCCATCTGTTTCACCGGCCCCGGAAAAGCGGAAGAAAATGCATGGATGGATGGAGCAAGCTATTTCAGATATTTCTCCCCGTCTTCTTTTCCCTGCGACCCTGTGTTTTAGAAATGACTCAATCCATCTCAGTGCTCTGGTCGACTCAGGTTGTGATCAAACACTAATCGCTCAATCCATTGTCACACAGTGCCCCCTTGAGACCATCACCCTGGAGAACCCGCTGAAAGCCACCGCTCTTGACCGTAAACCTTTACCTCAGATTACCCACCGGACAAAACCACTCCACCTAATCATCTCAGGTAACCATCATGAAGACCTCTCATTTTGTCTGTTCTCATCATCCCATTCCTCCATAATCCTAGGTTTTGACTGGCAGCAAGCATACAACCCACACATCAACTGGAAGGAACGCCGCATCGAAGCTTGGTCCACTAGCTGCCTCTCCTCCTGTCTCCAATCTGCCGTTCCTCCGAGCCCACCTCCAGGAGATGCCCCCTCCGTCGAATCCCTGGATCTGAGTAATGTACCCACAGAATACATTGACCTCAAACAAGTTTTCAGTAAAGATAAAGCCTGTTCACTGCCACCTCACAGACCATATGATTGTGCCATAGACCTGCTGCCTGGAGCCTCACTTCTTACCAGCCGTCTGTACAACATATCCTGCCCTTCACAGCTTGAAGGAGGGGTTTTAGCTCTTCTGGCACTGCTGGTTCCGTTTCATCAGCTTCTGTAAGAAAACAGCATTGGCCAAATAAAGGTTATTATGAATTTAGATTTACTCCCAAAGCAGGCACAAGGTTTTGAGAGACTGTTTAAAGTCAAGCACGTACTAATAATTTTCATTAATGCCTGTACGTTCTGATTTTACTCTTGTGACTACAGTATCTAACTTCTCCTTTCACTGTGATAAATGTTAACGTTAATGTTGAATTCTTTGCTTGTTTATATAGCCTGCACAATCCCAGACAAACGTTATCTTGCTCAGCCCAGATTGATAAAAGCAAAACTAAACCCATTGAGAAACCAAACGTCAAAAGTCAGCCAGTAACGGTTAGNTCTGGTGAATAACATACGTTTTCAGTCATATATGAATATACGTGTTACTCATGTCACTCTATCTCTTTTATATTCTGTTTCACTGTCTCTTATTTTAAATTTTGTTTTTAAAGACTTCTTAGTATACTTTGTATTGTTTTGTTTGATTATAGTGTATATGATATATTACAGTATGTCTTCTTTATGTACAGCACTTTGGTCGACTGTGATCGTTTTTTAAATGTGCTCTATAAATAAACTTTGACTTGACTTGATCTTGTAGAGGAGCTGCTCGCTGAGCGACTGCGCCCTAGATAGCTCTAGGCTGCTAACGGAGCCTCCAAAAGACGCCCAGAATGATTTCCGTGTGACACAGGAAGTAGTACTAACTGATTCCGGTGTGGATTTACCAATAAAATAAACTTTTCATGGAAAAGCAGCTAAGGTAAGAGACATTTTACAACAACAGTTTGATGAAGCGGTTTCGGTTTTTGCTGTTGTTTGGGTTATTTCTTGCTGATGCTTTGATTTTAGAGAGCTTTGATGGACATGTTTTGAATCTGTGGACTGTCAGGTTTCACTTGTTTGTGCGTTTTGCATAATGTACCGAATTGCTGGAGACAGAAATGTGGCGAGTGGGTTGACATGGTGGCACTATATCGATTTCCATATTTGATAATTCATTTAGTTGGTGTTTGAGTTGTGTTTGGTGCATGTAAGAATGGTTTATATATTCTTGTAACCCAGGTTCTGCTGTTTAATTTGATGTGCAGCATCACTATATTCTATGATGAGTGCATTGTTTCACACTATTTCTTTGTGTAAAACCCGAGAGGCCCCCAATTAAGGGTTACATTGCATGTATTTTACACGACGGTGGTCATTTTCTCAAGACAATCAAACACTCTTTTGTTCTCTCATAGATCACAGACTCTCATTACACTGCCTCTGAACCTAAGACCCCCACGCCAAACGCTCACATTGTTCCTTAGGCCTCCAACAGCCTCAAGCTGATCCATAATTCTAATTTCCTTTAGTCAATTACAGGATCAAGTTTTTATTTGTTTGTTTTTTGGCCAATCGTAGGTTCTGTGTTAATTTCCTAATTTCATCTGGGAATTCACTCGACAATGTTGCTTCACATCAGAGTCTAAACACAACAATACTTTAATTTAGGTCACAGAGGCACTGTCCCCGACCTCCACGCGATGTTGCAGAGACGTGTCAACCAGGACAGTCCCGCAACATCCAGAGTCTTGAGGTATTCAAGATGGATCTCATCCACCCACGGAGCCCTGCCACTGGGGAGCTTTCTAACCACCTCGGTGACTTCAGCCCGGGTGATGAGTGAGTCCGCCCCTGAGTCCACAGTCTCTGCTTCCTCTTCGGAAGACATGACGGCAGGATTGAGGAGACCCTCGAAGTATTCCCGATGACCTCTCCAGTCGAGGTCAGGAGGTCCCCACCCGCACCAAAGACAGTGCTGGTGGAGAGCTGCTTTCCCCTCCTGAGGCGCCGGACAGTTTGCCAGAATTTCTTCGAGGCCAACCGATAGTCCTCCTCCATGGCCTCCCCGAACTCCTCCCAGACCCAGGTTTTTGCCTCCATGACTGCACGAGCTGCTGCACGCTTGGCCTGCCGGTACCTGTCAGCTGCTTCAGGAGTCCCACAGGCCAAAAATGACCGATAGGACTCCTTCTTCAGCTTGACGGCCTCTCTTACTTCCAGCTGCCACCAACGGGTTCGGGGATTACCGCCGCGACAGGCACCAGAGACCTTACGACCACAGCTACGAGCGGCCACAGCGACAATGGAGGAGGAGAACATGGACCACTCAGCCTCCATGTCTCCAACCTCCCTCAGAATCTGGGAGACGCTCTCTCGGAGGTGGGAGTTGAGAACTCTGCTGACAGAGGGTTCCGCCAGACGTTCCCAACAGACCCTCACGATACACTTAGGTCTGCCCGGTCTGACCAGCTTCTTCCCCTGCAGAGAATCCAACTCACCACCAGGTGGTGATCGGTGGACAGCTCTGAGACACGCGGCCGGAGGTCTGATGATACAACTACAAAGTCGATCATCGACCGCCGACCTAGGGTGTCCTGGTGCCACATGCACATGTGGACATCCTTGTGCTCGAACATGGTGTTTGTGATGGGCAATCCGTGACTAGCACAGAAGTCCAGCAGCAGAACACCGCTCGGGTTCAGATCAGGGAGGCCGTTCCTCCCAATCACCCCTCTCCAGGTCTCACTGTCATTGCCCACATGGGCGTCGAAGTCCCCCAGTAGAACAAAGGAGTCCCCAGTTGGGGCACTATCTAGTACCCCTCCCAGGGACTCCAAGAAGGCCGGGTATTCTGCACTGCTGTTTGGCCCGTAGGCCGAGACAACAGTGAGAGACCTGTCCCCAACCCGGAGGCGTAGAGACGTGACCCTCTCGTTCACCAGAATAAACTCCAACACGTGGCGGCTGAGCTGGGAGGCAATAAGCAAGCCCACTCCAGCCCGCCGCCTCTCCCCGCGGG